TGAACCTTTTTGAGCCATTCTGATACTTTTGAAAAATTTCACTTTTAGATCAGGGCTTAATGTCTTACAACTTTCGTAGTCCACGAGCATTTTGGTACCTGCGGTCCTAGGTCATAAATTGCTCTCTTCATATTCGCAATGGGGATACAGGTATTGAAAAATACCTTCAAACATGCACAACATCCTTCTATCCGACATATGCTCGACTCAATACCCTTCAGAGTCACCCTAAGAGTTCCAACCCTTGGACCATCGCTTTAACTTCCTCTCCATACAGTCAAGTTGAGTCACAAGGAACATATATGTTCTCTCCCTCACTCACTCGGGTGGACTCTTCCTGAGTCCACAATCAAGAGGGCTCTAAGTCTTTAGCTGCTCTGATTGCCTGAGCGTATAGCTTTTGCACAAATAGCGAGATTCTTGTCACTATTTCTCCCCTCGTTCTATCTCTTGCTAGCCAGCCCCTCATTTGAGCGAACCTTTTATAGAGGATTACCGATGAATCAGCATTGCAGTTTCTAGCGTAAGAGAATAGAGCGACGTGTTAAAGCTTGAGGAAAGTTCGTGTCCAAACTGGCGATCAGTAGGAAGGCTTTGTAACTGTTCTAAGAGGGTGATCTGTCCGGGCATGTCCCCGAACCCCAAAAAACTAGGTAAGCACCTAAACGCACCCCCGTCGTAAACTCTCTCTTTATCGGTTCCTATCCACGCATAGGAGAGCACATGTGCGCACAGTCACAAACGTGCAGGGCGCAGACCCTCCATGGTTGTTTGAGAGAGGATTTTCTCCTGCTGTCCGCGCAAAGAAAAAATCAGGCCTCGACCACCTATATACCCCTTAAAAGCAACTCAAATTTAACCAAATTGGATTCCCAGTTATAGAGTAGGTCACAAGATTTCCAACTATCCTATAATTGCTTGAATTAGACTTACGACTATAAAGTTATGGCTTGGGGAAATCAATCAAACAAATAACATTTTAGGAATCCTCAAGAAAGCAAGAGATGACATCAAAACGTTTAGATTACCCGCATTCCTGATACGGGGCGCCACCTCCATGTTTCTCAAGTATGTGCTCTTTTCTTCTCTTTTTTATTTTATTTATTTTATTTTATTTTATTTTATTTTATTTTATTTTTCTGGTTATTTATTTATTTATTCGATTGATTTAGGTTTTAGGAGTCTTTTAAAGTCTAATATATGAATTTGAGAGCTGGCGTTGCTAATAAACTCAGAAGAGAACTGGATCTGCATAGAACTGTGATGCTTCTGAGCCTATAATTTGAGCAACCCCTCTCTTTACTGATCTCAAAAAATTAACTTGTTCTTCAAGAGATTTGGGTTGATCTGGCTTAGAAATCGATGCAAGTCAGAGAGCGTAAAAAAGAAATCATGTCAAAATGTTCATGGTGGCACAATATTTATTTTCCCGATGAAAGTTCGCCCAAAAACTCTGAAAACACAACCCATACCATGTGGTTAGAAAGAGGCCCTCTTTGAGCTACCTAGTTATTATTATGAGAAATTGTTGATGTTCTTGTTACTATTATGGGAAATTGTTGATTTCCTTTTTCATCTTATTTTTCTTTACACTTAGCCAAGGTAGCCAAAACCCTATCTCTAACCCAACTATCCTCTAAATCCTAGCCTAACTCAAACTTCCTCCTAACCTTAACCTTAACAAAACCCAAGGTACCCTACCAATACAAACCCACCTAGCATAAGCCATGCAAACCCACCTTGCTTAACCCATACCAACCCACTTAGCTTAACCCATCCAAGCTCACATTCCCTAACCCATTGAACCTCACTTGACTCAACCTATCCAAGCTCACTTGGCCTAACTCACCCAAACCCACTCGCCTTAACCCACTTAAACTCACTTTGTCTCTAGTCCAACTCACTTGGATTTTCCTAGACCCACTTGAACCTCACCTAGACCAACTTGAACCTATCGAGCTCACTTGGTCCAACCCAGTTGGACCCACCTAGACTCACTCGAGACCACCATGGCTAATGCACTCGACCCAATTGAACCCATTAGTTTAACCCATGCAAGCTCGCCTAGTCCAACCCACCTAACCGAATTAACGCCACTTGGACCTACTCGAGCTTACCAAGCCCAGCTATTCTAGCCATCCAAACCCATTCAAAGCTAGACCTAGCCCACACACAGATCTGCCAAAACTAAATATCGAGTGCGACTTGATGTGCAAGGAAGTGAAAGCAAACTATACTCTAAGCTAGCAGTTATCAATGATGTAGGTCCAGCTCCCCTCCCTTGGAATGGTCTGGCTCACAAAGCTCACCTGAAGAAAAGTAGGAGTGTATGGCTCACAACGCTCACCTGAAAAAAAGTAGAGGTGTATGGCTCACAACGCTAACCTGAAGAAAAATAGGGGCATATGGCTCACAAGGCTCACCCTGAGATGTTTGGCTCCCAAAGCTCACCTTTAGGGAGAAATTTCCGAGACTAGGCACCCTTGTGCCTTTGGTTGCCAATAAATGTGTTGCGAAATATTTCTCTGATATTAGGGCTCCATTTCAAAGAAATGAACTGGAGAACTAACACGACTGGGGCAAATTTTATCGTTAAATTTCATATAGTAGAAATAAAAGGGTTTTTACATATACAAGGGTTCGTGAGGTGTTCCAAGAACTTTTAATTCCTATTACAATTTAATTTAACCCTCTATAGGGTCGAACACTATTGATTTGGGCTTTGAATCTTACATATACAAAGACCTTAAGAAAGGAAAATGAATAAACATCCTGATCCCGATCGAGAAAACCATACAAAAACCAAAGTCCCCGGGACAACCACCCAAAATAATAAAAAAATCACACCTCTAGCACCTCAATAACTAAACAAAGCTCGGAGCACAAAAAGATGGCTCATGGGAAGAAAGAGACCCAAAACAAGAAGTCCAGAGCAAATTGGGCCAACTACGGTGCAAAGTCCATCAATGAAGGTCCCAGTAGCGTTCATGAGGCGATGACCGAAGTAACTCAGTTGGAAAAATTTGTGATGTTTGTGACAACCGCGTTAGATCCCGATTGGCTAGAATTGCAACCAATCGCTTGACTTGCATCATTACAAATGGTAATGGCTAATCGCCTGACACCAAAATGTGGGAACTGAATTGAATGATCATGCCATCACTGGCAGAAATGATGTTGACAACATTGTTAACCTACCCGACAGTTTCTAATTATCCAGAATCACTGCCCAAAACAAGTTCCCCGATAGACAGATGGCGACGATGGGCTTATGATTGTTTTACCGAAGTTATCAACATAGTCAACACTGGGGACATGTTCATTATCGCCAAGATTTCATCTTAACGAGCTTCCCAAACTCACCAGCCAATATTCCGGTGGCATTGTGTCTCTAACATGACACTGCCCAAAATCATGCCCGCCGTAAACTCAAAGGCGTTTTATGATGTAATGATTACAGCCCAAAGACTTGACAATGTCATCGATGAAATTACAAATTACGATGTCCATCAACGGCTCAGATTTGATCTCATATTTCGATGGTGATTAGATGTGACACTTGTCTATAAATTGAGGTTGCACCCCCCTCATTTGGTGGAGAATCTTTGGTGCCCAAGCTCTACCATTTTGAAATCCTTAAAATTTTGGAATATTAGGCATAGGTGTTGTCCCTCTGAATCTAGAACCTGGACCTTGACTCTGACCTAACCACATCTAAGCCAAAACTACTTTCGACCCTCTCCTAAACCTTTAGTCTAAACTATCCATATTCACCTCGCTCGGCAAACCTTCGAAACCTGCGCCATCCTAAACCAGAAGCATCTTCGATCATCAAGGCTAGGGGCCCAACCTCAGGTATACTTCCTTTGCATTTTACTTCTTTCATTTCTTTTAACTTTCGACTCTATTTTAAAATCTTTTCAAAATCTGCCCCTTTTCTGACTCCGAATTCTAAAACTTTTTCCTGGGCTTTAGATTTAATGATACCAGGATCTGGCTTAGCTAGTTGTTTGAGCTGAGGGTATGTTGGTCTGACCTTTGCCCGAACCACAATTTGACGGGTCCCATTCTGTGTCCCGCAAATCAGGTGAGGACTTCTCTCTACCGAAGTTTTCAAGTATAAAAACTAAGAATAATGGAAAAAAGAAAGCACCAAGAGGCATATCACGCCATACCTGTATATTTGCAGGGGTACTGCCTAGACCTTGCGCTTTCTCACGATCTTCAAGTGAGTGTACTGCCTAGACCTTGCTCCTTCTCACGATCTTCAAGTGAGTGTAGAACCAGTAGTGTACTTGATCAATATGAATATCTCACATGCAGTCGGAAAATGGCGATATGAGTGGCCTTTCTCTAACTAACGGTGCAAGAAAAATTTGTCTGACAAGGGGCACAATTGGGATAGAGACTGCTCCCTCACTCACAAATCTTTGACAAAGTCCCCAAACATTACCGCCACTACTAGAAATTCCCAAAATCCCACCAACACTCTTCTCGTCTATAGTTAATGCGAATACTAGAAATATCCAACCATTACTGCGAATACTAGAAATACCCAAAATCCCACTAACACTCTTATTTTGTATAGTTAATCTCGAAATTTGTTGCATTGGGCTGAAATATGTGAGAATAAATTGCGTTTTCATACATGTTGTGTACTTTATATGCTTAAATTTCACTACTTATATTTTAGCATGTTTTTGCTTAATTTCTTTATGTATAACCATTCAAAGAACTTTGAAAAAATTGAAGTGTTTAATTTTTCAGAATTTCCCTCAATTTATCCGAGCCCATATAGGACTCGAGCTGGACCTGTCCAGCCGAACTAGCTTGAGTAACCCAACTCAGCCCAGGGCCGAGTCCATGGGCCAAGTCAAGTCATAAAATATCGGTCGTTCGAATCAGCAAATTACAAAATTTTATGATTCGCAATAATTCTTATTTAATGTTTTCTACAAGGCTTCTTCCAAAAGAAACGACCTGATCAGGAACCTTACATATGAAAAATAGTATATAAATTTAATAGACAATTACTAAAATGTAGACCCCTTCGATGTGTTGAATACAATGGACATCCTAATCGTAAATTTTGCACTCTTAATGCATGCTAGCTACCATTAATACATGGATTCATTATAGTTGATTGATTCACATGCGTACCCCTGGCCTACTTTTTGTAGGCCGAGCAGCGAGACCCACGCCTACTTCTTTGCAGGCCAGGCACCAGGAACCAGCTAAAGAATGCCCCTGGCTTTTAAGAACCACGGGTTTCCTATTGCATAAAAGAGTTGCAGACAAGCAAAACCCGCATCAGACCTTCACCCTCCTCAGTGCAATGTAGGCCAATAACCTATAACCGACCAACATAGCCGCCAATGCACCCACACACAGAGCTGGCCCTGGCAGCTCCATCACTGCACCGCCTCCACCGCCCCCATTGCACCACTGTGACTGTGCCCCTCTGTACTGAATGTGAATGAGCAACCCGAAGGCATAGTAGGTGAAGGAGGTGTACTTAAGCCACCTGACAAAGTGCGGCACCTTCCTCACGTAGTAACCACCGACGAGCAAGAATGCCATCATTGTCACCGAGGCCACGGCAGTTGCTCGTTTGGCATCCATGATGGCCGCTCCAAGAGCCAAACCTAGCCCCTGTCCCACGAGCACACTGTACAACACCACGCCCAAGGTTAGGAGAAATGAGAAGGCGTCAGCACGTAGCCCTGCCATCCAGTAAGCAACGATGGTGAATGCAGTGGGGAGGACCAGCTCCATAGGTAGGTCCCCAATTGCCTTTGCCGCAACGTAGGCGGAGAGCTTGTACATTCCGGCGCCCCTTTCCTTGATGAAAATGGGGCGTTCTTGAGGGAATGTGAATACAGAGTTGAACACCGGGAAGACTCCCCAGAAGATGGAGATGAAAAAGAGGAGTCCCACTCGATCAAGCACGTCACACGCACTTGACTGCCACCACATGGACCCAGCGAGCACTGCAGTTGCACCCACTTGGAGAATCCGGAGTCCACCAAAGGACTCGTGTCGCCGCTCCTTCAGGCTCCGCCTTAGTAGAACGGAGAACTGATCAGTCCAGGTGGTGCAGAGCTCGCTATCATGCCTTTTGGTGCCAGGGTTTTGAGCTACTTCTGTGGTGATGGTGGCTAGGACATTGGCCTTCACCTTTGGGGCTAAGGACTTGTTGAAGGAAGAGATCAGGAATTGCTTTAGTTTTGGTTTTTGAGCATCGCCTTGTGTCTCTACTTGCCCAGCAACCAACTTCAAATCTGGCGTGACGCCTGCAAAATTTCCCATGCACACTCAAAACTCCCAGTAATCTGATCATTTAATAGAAACATAAACAGACATTTTGCTGTGGTATACAATCCATCGTTCATTTTTCACACTAAAACTCCCAGTAATTTGATCATTTAATAGAAACATAAACACCCATTTTGCTGTGTAATACAATCCATTCCTTTTTCACTAGTGTTCCATAAGCTGGTCCAATAGGGGTAAGGATTTAAATTTTTTTTTTTTTACCCAATCTCGAGCTTGAGTAAAAATAGTTAGTTATCTAGACAACCATATAAAACTTTATCACATCTTATCGTAATAGCCAACTCCAAATCATTGAGATGTGGATTCAATAATGATGATGAAGATGTTCCATAAACTCATAATAGTGTACATTTGAGTTTATTTTGCTCCATTTTCATTTATATGTGATATCCTAACCGGTGCGCCATTGTATGGTAACTAATATGGGTGGTTCTTTTTTGTTTTTTTTTTTTGTAAATAATTCAGTTGGGACGACGAGCTCTGCCGGATTTTTTAAATAGCAAATAGTATCTTGAAGTGGTTAGTAAGGATGCTATGCTACCACTGCCCATTCAGCCTTTTCCCACCGTTCCTTTTCCCACCCTTTTCCTACCCGCTGAGTGTGGGCAAATGATCATACCAAAAGATATTCCACAACATAAGATTTCAACAGTTATAAAAAGACAAAACATTTGAACTTTATACAATTTAATGCTACTCGTCATATCAAAGACGATTCCTCCTTGACCATGAATGTCACTATTATAAGTACCACACGAGTCCCTCAAGTCACCAAATACTAGTGTCGTTACGTCCATCCTGCGTCATGGATTGTGAAATTTAGAATGATAGCCATGCTGTCGTTGAACTCCCGTGTTAAGTGGTCAATCCACTCGATTTATTTACTTTAATTTAGTGTGCCGTATGTGTCCCTTCCTTTGGAACAACGACTATGACTAGTGCTCTGACATTGGTTTGGGTTGGCAAAAAATATATAACTTGAAAAAAAAAATTAAAAAAAAAGTACGGTTTTTATAACGTTACAATCTTAAACAATCCAATTAAAACGTGCTGCCAAATTTTATCATAACACATAATTTTCCTGTAAAAGTTTTTAAAATTATCTGATAATCTATTTTTATCTCTAATTATAAAGTTTTCGAATCTAAAAATGATTAAAATCAAGTAGATTTAGAAACATATGAAAATTTTGAAAATGTATGGTTTAGATAATGTATAACAATATGTACTATTTTTTAACTTAAAAATCTTTTTTTTCTTCATATTCATACATATCGATGTCGAAATGATCAATTAGAGAGTTTTTAAACTTTAGAACAACCTTTCCGATGGATTTTTGAGATGTATCTTTAATTGTACAATTTAAGGTTGCAACCTTATATAAACTTTTTCTTTAGAAAAAAAAAGACAATTTCTCTAAGTCCACGACTGCCTATTAAAAATCTATTTTTGGGATGGATTTTTTAATTCAATTTTTAAATACATATAACCTCTAACATGAAGATCATGAATATAAATAAATAAAATAAATTTTAAAATTTCAAAATAATAAATTTATGAAAAAAACATTTGGAATCAAAGGTTTTTAGATGGACCACCCATTTGCATCCATCTTTTAAGATGGATGCTTTCTCCCTTGACAGAACGTAAATGGAGAAATGCGTGACTGGAGTAATTTTGGAAAGAAAAATCAGTTGAAAAAAAAGAGCAAGAGAAAATTACATTGCCACATACACAATAATGACAGAATAAAATGCACATTGCTTATATCAATTTAATAATTAAGTCCCCCTACTGTTCAAAAAATAATTTAATAATTAAGTCCCACCTCAAAAACTCATCGAAAGGCATTGTTGGTATACCTGAAAACCCTGTACTTGATCATATTCTGGATGTCAAAAAAAAAAAAACTAAATCCCAAAAGAAAATGCATTTTGTAATACATAATCTAGATTTTCTTATGTTCATTTGATCTACTTGATTTATATTACTTTTAAATATTTTATTTTATAATTAACAATAAAAATATATTTTTTCTGACCATCTCATAAATTTTCAACACTGAAACGACATGTTTCACAGGTACTTTAGGATGCGGCCTTACTTTAATTGCTCAAGGTGTCAAACTCATTTAAACCAGCGGTCTGCTGTTTGAGTTTGAAAAGGAAGAATAGAACACCCTACTTATTGCGGGTTGTATAGACGTCACCCACAGTCTCGCTACACTTTCGTGAAAACAAAATAAATGATAAATAAAAAATTTATATAATGTTGAAGCCAAAATCAAGACGCACTTCAAAAAGTTATTTCTATGCCATCAAACTTTTAAATCCAATCATCCCAATCTTGTATTATATAGATCTTCAACAAATGAAGTTCAAGTTTTAGAAATAGTGCATGCATTTTTTAGATGGTTAATTTTCAAACGTTTATAGATGTACATGATCTTCCTTAATTTTTTTAAATTTAAATTTTATAATTAGATCTTAAAGCAAATTTTCAAACCATTACAAAATGGGAAAAGTTTATATAGAGCTGACGCTCTAAACAATACATTTGAGCCTACCTAAAAAATTTTGTTAGACGAAATTGTTTTGATGCCCAAAAGTCCTCAAATTGATCATCTCAACATCAAGATGTATGGATATGAAAAAAAAAAATTGATGTTAAGTTTTGAAAATAATACATTTTCTAATACATTTTTTGACTGTCAATTTTCAATATTTTCAAATTTTCATAGATATGTTGATCCACACTATTTTTGAAGCTTTAAACTTTATAAATAAAAATAAAAATATATTTTAAGGCTATTACAAAGCTTTCTAGTGTTGAAACCACATTTTTCAATACTATTTAAAGGTTGGCTCCGATTTGATTGTTTAGAGCCTAAGTTCTATACAAACTGCACCCTTACAAAAAATTTAAATATTAAAAAAGATACTATTTGAAGGTGCACCTTATTTTGATAAGGGCTTTACTTATCTTTATACAAACCACACCCAATAAAAAAAAGGTGCAGTTGTTATAAATAAAGTGCATCTTCAAATAGTATCGAGAAATATGATTTTTTCAAAATATTTAATATATTTTCATCTTTAATTAGAAAATTTAAAGCTTCAAAAATGATATAGATCGAAAAAATTTAAAAAAACTTAAAAATCTTAAAAATTGACAATCAAGATGTACTATTTCTAAAACTTGAAATCCATGTTTTTTTCAATTCAATGCATCTTGATGTTGAGATGATCAATTCGAGGATATTAAGGCATCAAAACAACCACTTCTAGTGAAATTTTTAAAGTCGGCACTACTTTGATTGTTTAGACCCTCGGCTCTATATAAACTGTTTCCACAAAAATAAATGCATTACCCTTGCTTTCTTATTATTTTTACGGCAATACTAAAGTATACATTAACAACTAAATTATAATTTATATTATTTAATTTATTTCAAAATACCCATAGAATAGTTAAAAATAATAAAATATTAAATAATAAACAACTTTTTCGCGTTACTTTATAAAAACAACAAACAAAAAGAAAGGAATAGGGAGATGGTGAAACGACACGAAGAAAAGTTGAAGCCACGCGTCAGCATTTTAAGGCGCCAACACTTAATATTTAATAACAATGCAAATCTCATCAATAGCTGTCATCCATCAACATCCTCCAAAATGCACCTGAATTCCCTCCAAAATTACGACAGTGGCCGCAAATGGAATGGGAATATTGCTTTGGCGATGGCCCACTTCAATCCCAAAAAGTCACCACTATTCTGACACGTGTAAACCATTGCAAACACATCCCGCGACCACTCGACATTTTTATTAGAAAATATTATTAGAAAAGATTTACTACTTTACTCAACTAAAAATAAAATAAAAGAGAAGTGTTTTCACAGTCAACCCGCATTGTTGTTTGCCACACAGTGGTGAGTCCTGGTCGTCGGAAAAAGAAAAGAGAAACGGGGAGAAGTTGAAAAACACACTGAAAAAAAGTGAGGAGATAAGAAAGGAAAGGACCCCAAAGGGCATCTTTGGTCAGAAAGGAAATGCTAAGAATGACAGTTATGCCAGAGCTAGCTGGAGCACTACATTTATGCATTTCACTTGGAGGAAATGCAAGTCTCCTCCAAATATCAGAGGATATTCACGACAAGACCCTTTGGATAAAAAAAAAAAAAAAAAATTTAAGAGAACTTGCCCTTTAAAGAGGACGATCTAGACCGTTGGATTTTTTTTGTCTACGATGCACAACTTCCCTATTTTAGGATGTAGAACTACCCACTGAGAATCGGGTATACGTCTTCTCTTACCCAAAAGAAAATTATCCCTAAAAGAAAGCAACAATTCCATCTAGAACGATGTCAAAGAATATGGGATTCTATCTGAAATCAATATGGGGATGATTTCATTGAAAAAAGAAATCAACATTGGAAGAAGCTGCATTCATATATATATATTTATACATAAGTGTAATTATAAAGAATTAGTTCATTGCCCGAAGGCATAGAAGATAAACTATCATTTTCATCAGCTAACGCTCACATTCAATAATGAGAAAAATACCCTACAACGAAGTTTTATTCTTTAAGTAACCTGAAAGATGGGTCATGAACCACAATAAGTAAGAACCAGATGCGCCTATATCTTAAATCTTAATCCAATAGGTCCCCTTGTTTCCTTTTTGAAATTATTAACCTACCTTTTATTTTTTTCATTTTCTTAGATTTTTTTAATGCTAAATAAATTCTGGTGACATGACTCACAGACTAGCGAACGAACAACAAATGTAAAAGAGCAAGTAGGGCAACATCCCAGGTTCCTGTGGGGGTACCACACCAAATATTATCGCCCATCACCATTGGTCCACAGAAATGGACGGATCAGATCTTCCTCTGCATTTTAAAGAACCTTGCTAACTACTGTAAAATTACGTGTCGACCAGCAGGGAGAAAGTGCGTTTGTGCGTGTACGAGATCAGGTTTTTAGAGGCTATATGCGTGTACGGAGTGAGGCCGTAAGAGGGGCGTTTATGCTTGTACGAAGATCGAGAAGGATTATGTTTCCACGGAAATAAAATTCCCCCACCAGGGTGAGGAGTGCGTAAGCTGAGGCGAGCAACATTTTTTCCACGGGAAATGAAATTCCTCCACGACGGTAAAGAGTGCGTCGACAGAGGCGAGTGAGGGTCCGTTTCAGTATTGGAAAGACAGAGAGATTATACGTACTGGGCGTATTGACAAAGTGTATGGCTCTGGAATCCAATGCATAGAGAGATAAAGAAAAAGAAGCGTTTTTAATTAGTAAAATACGATCACCACCGCGTACTTTTCGTACGTGTGAAAATATTTTCACAATTTTTTAATGTGATCTGTGGAACTATTTTCACACCAATTAACCAGAATGCATTTTTTTCAGAGTGCGAAAATATTTTCAATACTTCACAAAAGGTGCTTTCAGCTGTACCAAACATGCGTAACCGTGTCTATCCACCACCCAACCAACCGAAACGTGCGAGTAGAGGGAGGGAAATCGGCTAAAGAGTTCGTAATTTCAACACTGCGTCCTAAGTTCGAATCCTACCACAGTATTATCAGTAAAAAGAAAAAACTCAGAAAAAGATGGATTCTGAGAGAGAGAGAGAGAGGATATGGTATGGAAAATAAGAGAGAGATAATGTGGAGGAAGCTAGGACTTACCGTTTGCGAGGTCGATCATGAAATCCGCAGGGTTCATAGCGAAAGCAGGAGAGAAGCCAATGGAGGAGAAGTAATCCATGGCCTCGCTCCCCTTGCCAAAGTACAAGCAATTTCCGTCGCTAAGCAACAGCACGCTGTGGAAAATCTGATACACCCTGCTCGATGGCTGGTGCATCGTCGCCACCACCGCCTTGCCTTTCCTGGCCAACCCTCTCAGCGTCGTCACCAACTTATAAGCCGCGGTCGAGTCCAGCCCCGATGTTGGCTCGTCCAGAAGCAGGAGGCTCGGGTTAACTAGCATTTCTTGCCCTATACTGACTCTCTTTCTCTCTCCTCCTGATATCCCCCTCACAAAAGCACTTCCAACAATTGAATCACCGCAACCGTTAAGACCTAACTCAGAGAGTACAGACTCGGCCAACCCCACTTTCTCTCTCTTCGAAACCGTTTTAGGAAGCCTCAATAAAGCCGAGTAAATTAGGGTTTCTCGAACTGTGAGGTGAGGGTAGAGGAGGTCGTCTTGAGTTACAAAGCCGGTTTTCCTTCGAATGGATTTGGTGACTTTCTGGCCATTGGCGAGGAGAGTTCCTGCGAATTTTCCATCTAATTTTCCACCCAGGAAGCTCAAAAAAGTGGTTTTTCCGCTACCAGACGGGCCTAAAATGGCCAGGATTTCGCCGGGCGACACCACGCCCGTTATTCCTTTAAGCACTGTGCGTTCTTCTATTGATTTTCTCGGTGGTTTCGAGCCGATTATGCTGGAGAGAATGCTGCTCGCTGTGCTCTCCGTTGATTGTAACTTAATGCGGTAAGTGATGTCTACAAACTGCAAAGATGAAGTAGAAAACTGCATTAAGTCGGTCATTTTAGAGAGAGTGATGCAGGTGTTTTAGAGAGAGAACTGCAAGTGTGAGTTTATACAGATGAGAGATTGGTGGGTCCGGATTGCAACGCCAGCAGTTGGTAGTTTTGGAAGGTTGTGGAGAGAGTATAGGCCCTGGTTTTAGAGAGAGAGGGCAGATTGATGTTTCCTCTATAACAGAAGAGAACAGTGCTCTTTACAAGAGGATTTTCTATTTTACTTTTTTTGGCATTACAAACAAGTTGGTGGTTGGATATGGAGGAGAGTTTAAAGAGATGTTTCCTCTTTGACACAAGAGTAGCAGGTCTCTTTATAAGCAGATTTTTCTTTTTTGCGTTTTTGGTATTACAAACAAGTTAGCGGTAGGAAATGGAGGAGACCTTCACTCTCTTTACCAGAATTCGTATAATAATAAATTACCTTTTGTTAGTTGGAAAGCAGCCTCCTGTTGTTAGAACAGAGATCGTTTGGAAGATCGAAACGTAAAGGTTTGGCATTGCTGAAAATATTTTTTTTCTTTTTATTTTTATTCTTTTTTGTTAAGAAAAAAGATAGACAGATAACAATCACAAGAGCAAACTACCGAGAGAGACACTCATGAGTCAACAAGAAAACGCTTCTCAAACAAAAAAAGCTCAACGAGTTCAGTACAGCACTCGCAGATATGCAAGAATTATCAATACCACATGTGAAAAAAGTCTCCACTCAAAACTGTATGTTTCTTATTTGTGAATTGCCATTTCTTACTCTGAGAGAACAGAGTGAGAAAGAGAGAGAAAGATAGTAAAGAGAGTCATAAGAGGGAGGGGAAAGAGATAATTTTTTTTTTTCTGCCAACCTTGACAGTGACTGGAAAAGAAGGAGAAAGCAGCGACTCCACGCGCGTTTCACACTCGTCTCCGCCTTCCCCATCACGCACTCCAGAAAACATTTCCCACAATAATAAAACCTCGAAACAAAATCAGGCAATAGATAGAGTTTTTAAATAGAAGTAACCTAAAAACAAAATGAGGAGAGAGAGTTTTGGTGTGATGCTCCAAAGAGCAGAAAGAGGAAAATGAGATCCCAAATATCCCACTTACCTCTTCATTTATACCCATTCCAACCGACACGTCAGCCGTAAACGCCCGCACAAGAACCCTTGAGACACCGCCCACCGATAGGTGTCGGTAAGTCCCCACGTGTCGAACTGTCGCCCTGTCAAACCACCGCCAGCGTGGCAATGAGCAGCTTTCATTTACTATGTTTGCCTTAAGAAGTGGACTTTGGAGGTGGGCCCCAACGGCTGAGCCCGCACCCAGGGCGCTACCCTGCGCCAGGTTCGCACGTCATCCTAGCCCCTCCCGGTTACGTGCTGATATGGACACGTGGCGGTAGGAAACGTGGGGCTCGAGGCGCCCATCCAATGGTGCCGTTTCGGCAGGCGGAAGTTGAAGGTACCTACTTCCGTGAAATCCCAAACCTCTCTCTCTCTCTCTCTCTTCTGTTTCTTTCTCCTGCCCAATTGTCTAAACTACCCTCTGACTCATAACGTCAGGGGTATCATCGTTATTTACGGGGAGAAGGATCGGGATTCGTTGCCTATTAAATCTGTGAAACGTGTCCAATGTTTAGCGCGTGTGGGCCTCCACTAAGTGGGGGGTGGTTCTCCTAGATGGGCATGCATCCATGGATGCCATTACTGCATCACCATGATTTAAGGCCGGCAATGGACTGGGCATCCGGACCTGGAATGGGCCCACGAACTATGGCCCAAGTTCCCTTCTAGGGCTAAGGCTAGAATTAGTGCTGGCCCGGTTCTCTCATTTTCTCATTTTTTTTTTTATTTTTATTTTTTTAGCCAATTTGGTTCAGGTGCGGTCACTTGGTGTGACAATAAAAGGTTTGGGTAACCAAGAGCGCGGGTTCATAATAGTCATTTTGTGCATAAAAATAAAAAATTAAGACCGTTTCCAATTCATCCCTCTCATGCTACAGCGATTGGAGGACCCGCACCGAACTGTGGCCCTTTTTCAGCCAACTTGGCCTGGCCCATGGCCATAAAAATTAAAAGTTCGTTGGCTCTAGAGAACAGAATCATGAGGCCACACGTCATGGGCATGATTGGCATGCACATGGCGAACAAGCATTCGTGACTGCATGCAAGGAAGAAGAAACTCGCACTCACTTCCTTCAAAGAGCTTTTTGAGAGTGGAAATTATTATTGGTTGGTTCCCTCCCCTCCACAAAAGCCTATCACCCTTTCGCCCAGTATTACTAATATTGTTGACCGTGTATTTCTGTCATAAATTTGGAGAAAAAGAGAGAAAACAATGAAATCTTGGTCTTTTTTGCTTTGGTTCTAGCTAATTAAAGAAAGAAGGGTCGAAATTTGAGAATATCAGCTTTCATTTGTAGTGATTTGAAAGTTGTGTACAACTTTGGAACACAGGTAATGGAATGTAGGGTATATACCGTATTCCATTTGTCGGCATGAACCCTTGACAATCGAATCATAGATAAAAGTGCATCTTCCCTGTTCATCAATTTCTTGTTTTTTAGGGGGATGAATGTCATTATTCATACTGGACTGGCGCCACTATTTCTTTCTTTTGGTTTTGTAACAATTGCGTCCCTCTTTCTTTCAAGGAAAAGGCTAAGATAAGGCAGAGGTCTAATGAAAAAAAAAAGGTGAATTCTCACCTCAAAACTCACTAAAATTTTGTAGTTCTGCCTTCAGAAAACCTTCAAATTGATCATCTCCCTTGACCATTATTTTAATGAAAAAAAATAAAATTCAAGCCATAAAAATAGTGCATATTATAATGTATTACCTAGAACGACCATTTTGAAATGATCATGGATCCGCAATATTTGTGCTACTTTTTTATCTTCAAAATTTATAATCAGTGGTAAAAAATAATTTTAGATCCATCATAAAGATTTTTCGAGCTTGAAGTGTTTTCCAGAGAAGTTTTTAAGCTTAAGCTTTACTTTTTTCATGAGACCCAGGCCTTATAGAAATGGCCTTTTTTCATTAGACCCAGGCCTCATAGACTGGGTAAATTTGGATATAAACTTTGGACATTACTATTGTTGCCACATCACTTCCAACAAAATACAAATTCAATGGACCTATCACGGATCCCGGCTGTTCGCCGAAAGCCAATATTTTACAATAGATTTATTACTTGGTGAAAGCCAAACTCTCTTGATGAATCATGTGCTCATCATCTCTAGATAAGATTCAAGGAAGAACTGCTGATAAAAAAGAATAACAACCAGCACTGGAGTGAAATTATATGGAGCCATCAGCAATTTTCAATACGTCTATGACATTCTATTTGTTTCTCAAAAAATATTTATATAAATAATTCAATTACAAAATCCAATCACGACATGACACGCAAACTAGCAAGGCATGTTGGGTGTATTGTTCCTAACAAACACTTTCGAAATGGCAAATGAAGCTTGGGAACCAAATTATGTGGGTCATTTTTATAATCCAAGAGTTCTTCTACTATTATTCAAAAGAATAAGCAAGCACTTTGAGTGATAATGGTGGGGCAGGGGAAACCATTAACTGAGGAGGAACATTCCACAGAGGTTCTCTAGCCCTACATAAAGCCAATTCCGTAAACATATGAAGCTTATTTTCAATTATTAATGAGAGAGAGACTTATAAACTTCAAATCATTATTTTGAAGGTCCTTGAGAGTTGGAATATCCCTAGTTCCAAAGGTGGCTACTCACATGGTATATGGCATTTAAAGATAGCTAAAGGATAAGCTCTCCCTCTTTTACTTCATTATTGGGACCAAATGATTCTAAAAAGATAGACACCAAAAAAAAAAAAAGAGAGAGAGAGAGAGAGGAAGAAGAAGCAAGAAAACAAAAAAAATGAAAACAAAAAGACTAGATAGATAACATATGGTCTGTAGATAGTGGATAATAAAAGAAAAGCTACATGGAAGAAAGAAAGAAAGAGAAAAAAAACAAAAAAAAAATACAACTAAAGACATGTTTCCTGGATGCGATGGAAATGGGGTCAACATCTTGTGTGAGGGTTGATTTGAAAAGTCTTTTGTGCCCCATCTTGTCCATTAGAATAGTGACTTCTAAAACATATTATATGAGGAGTATGGCACATATATGGTGCGTTTGGCAGGTGGGTTGAATTTTTGGAACTCAAACAATATAATAGTTCGCAACATATGATGAAATGGAGTTGAAGAACAAGAAAGGGACTCCCATAAAGAAGCCTCCAGCCTTTATTAAATGACAATATTTGGGAAATATCTAATCCATGCTAGAAGGTTATAGTGAAGGGGGGACCCAAAGAAGGGTTAAATCAAAGAAAGACAATGCTAAGGCCAACCTTCACATTTGAAAGCATGATTTGTGAGCTTGAAATGGGATAAATGATGTCTAGCCTTAGATGTACACAGTTATGGGGAAAGAAGTCAAGAGTTTACAATTTCGCTCTCAAAAAATCACATCAAATAATGGATGGGCACTTTTTGAAAGAGCAAAAGGAAGAGAGTGAGAGAGAGTAAAATTGTTGTTTGAGATGGGCGGTGGTCAAACATTTGCTAGCCCCACTATCAACTGAGTTCAACGACCGAACACTTGGAGTGCACCGAGCGTTGCAACTTCTCTTTAGTGAAGTGGGTGAGATGAAGGCTCGTATGCATATAAATAAATATATTATATTATACGCATTCATATGTCATTCATGTAAGTATGCAATTGGCATACAGATGCATCCGTAGCTGTAGAGGTAAGGTTCATCTTCAAATTTTATCATCGTATATAATTTTGATGTAAAATGTTTTTAGGATTATCTCAAAATATATTTTATATATAATTATAAAATTTAAAATTTAAAATATGGTTAAAATCAGGTAGATCTAAAAACATATAAAAATCTTGAAATTGAATGATGTAGATAATATGTTGTAAAATGCACTATTTTTTAGACTTAAAATCTTTTTATTTTTCATAGTCATACATCTTGATATCTAGATGATCAATCATAGGGTTTTTAACATTAAAACTACTTCTTCCGATGGATTTTTGAGGTGCAACCGTAGTTATACATTATAAGGTTGCATCCTTATATAAACTTTTTCCTTCATGTAATTACTCATCAATAACAAAAGTGATGGCATCCATGGTCCATGAGTAGGTCCAGGTGCACTGAGTGTGGAGAGATAATCAGTCATGTGACCACTGTAGTTCAGTTTGACTCATGCGATTGATACTATGTATGTGTGCAAGATTCTTCAACTGTTACGGCACAAACACAGGTATGTTATGTTTCCAAAGACTATTACAAGTGGGGTTAGGGGTTGGGACTTAGAAGGAAGTGGAAGCAACTTCCACAGCCAATGTCGCCACGGGAAAGGAAAATTTTTTGTAAAGGTACACCATGAGCTGGTCATGTTCCAAAGTTTGGACCCTAGTGGGCACCTGCCATTAGTTCCTTTTGACACCATTGCAAAATGTTTTGAAAAACTTTAACTAGAAGAATCGATTGATTATGTGAATCGAGAGAAAATAAATCAGTAACAACCACCAAAAATTGGAAAATGATTTGCAGAAAAGAATACCAATATATATATGTGGTTTATCGTTAAGGTGACTACAGTGATGGGTTTGTCATTATTGTGACTAAGGGCAAAGACAGTCAATGAGAGCATCTCCAAAGGGACAATATGGTTCTCTCTTTGGCAGTCTCCTTAGGGCAAAAATTCTCAAATGATAGGAAAGGAGCTGGGGTCGTGGAGGTAGCATCCCCAAACCCAGTTATCATATCGTGGTATCTATTTCTATCTCTGACACCCTCAATTAATACTTTTAAAATATAATTTTTTATTTATTAAAAAATAGATAAAAGTGTGTCTTCCCCATTGAATTACCGATGAAATGAAAAAAAAAAACTCAAATGATTGCCTCAAACCCTAAAGAGATATTTCTATATGCCCAAAATAGTCCTATATTTTCAGGTCAAGGTTTCTTGCCTCCTAGCCTTCATCTAGGGGGATGGCTCCCAAACCCCCA